ACAGTTACTATTTCACGAAGAAAATCGTTCCTATAAATAAAAATCATTCCTCTGTATCTCGAGGCGATCTCAACTCGACTCTAAAAATCGTTAAGTCGAGCGTGTCTCTCGGGGAGTGAGAGGGGGAGGACGGACAGAGGGGGGACGACAACGACAAGCTGCGGAGTCTCTTTATCGAGACACGGGGGGCGTTTCGCGAGCGCAAAAGAAGCCCCCCATGGCACGAGGTCTTCCGTTAGTTCATCGTCTTCCGGTGACTTCCGGTGGCCTAACGAGGGACAATGCTCCTGCGTGCACGCGGCGCAACAATAATCGCGTCTCAAGTTCCTCCAAGCGGGAGGGCGGTTCTTCTTCGTCCCGCTCGCTTCCTCCCCTCCCCTGTCCTCCCCGTCCATTCTTTCTTCCTCTCGACTACTTATGCCTTCAATGACATATTAGGAACCAGCGTTTGGAGAGGCGTCTTGTGTGCGTACACAACATGGGGATGAAAACGAGAGAGAGAAAGAGAGACCGATACGCGATTTTCGACTCGAACACAAATTATAGACTCCCGGGTCGACCGTTGACGCGACTTCGTAGATCCGTCACTCTACTTCGGCCACTCTCTGGGACATACGCTCATGCTCATGTACTTGAAATGGCATTCACGGACACGCACGTGTCTCTCTCTCTCTCTCTCTCTTTTTCTCTTTCTCTCTCTTTCTCTTTTTCTCTCGAATCTCGATCTTTCTTAGCGGATCGAGCACGCTCGGATCTGGGCTCTCATTCTCTTCTCTCTCGGTGTCTTTGTGGGGAGACGCGCCAATCGCCTCCGGGCTCTATGTCGAGGAGTCGACCACGCGAGCTTTTTACGGGAGGCCACTCGAGCGCGAGACAATTGTTTAGTCGCCTCGAGGACTGACTTCTTTCTCTCCTTCCGCTTCTTCTCAATGAGCTAGTCGCTCTCCTTCTCTTACTCTTTCTTTTTTCTTCTCGATCTTCCTCTTTCTCGTGCGACCGTTAACGGTCGACGACGAGGAGACGTCGCCGAGCAGACTCTACTCTCTTTCTCGGCGTCGATGTATTTCCAATCGAACTCCGGGGGATCGCATAATGAGATATTGTGCACTTGAGTACTGTGAAAAAAATGAATCCGACGAATATCGGAATTTTTCTTCCAGTCTGTACGTCTTTAACTTTCAATCTAAGGAGAACTTGTCGGAAAATAATAATTTATAAAAATTTATAGTAAATGGAGATTATGATGTGTCGAGATAAACAAATTCTAATATCTCGATTTTTAAAGAACACTATCGAAAATTAGAGATAACACAGATCTGCGAGGGTCAGTTGCAAAAAGCAGAGTAGGTGAATATGACAGATTTTTTGATACTGATAATGAATCTGGCTATAGAATTTCTCTAGCACGTCACGTCCTCGAGTAATTTATAGTTCAAAGATGACAATTTCGGCAAATTTCATAAATGTATTAAAGAAGAACCTAAAAGCTAATTTCTTTCGATTTTCAAAGGACACTTTATCGAATGAAAATTAGTGATAATTAATCTTGATAGTCGTATATAAATAATATTGTTTTATATATATATATATATATATATATATATATATATATATATATATATATATATATGAATCTCTCCAAAATAAAATTCTGTGTGAGATCGAACTTAGTTTTTTATAAATTTTTTAATTTTATCAGAGAATACGATTAGTACTCTAGTACTAATGTTGTAATAAATTTTCCAAAAATTTTATTAGTCTAACTTTTGAAAGGTTCACATATAGCTAACTAAAATTTTTGAAATTTTTTGAAATAGTTTAATTCTATTAGATATGTATAATATTTATTTAGAAAGAACAAATGATTGAAATAAAAATGGATTTCTATATATTTTTCAATTTTTTTCATTAAAATAAACAATCCATGCGCGTGTCATTTGGGGATCGCGGAGAGGGGGAAGAGAAAACCCTGTCTCTATCTGTCGCTCCATCCTTTGACAGTCGACGACACGCCCGCAAAATTGCTTCTCTGGCGTGGAAGCTCGGGTCGCAGCGCGGGAGAGACAATTTTTCGGGGGCGAAAAATATTAATAACTCCGGTGTTGCAGAGCAAAGGACGTAGGGTTCCCCGAGTAAGGGATGGTATGGCCGGGGACTCGTGAGCAGCGAGGGGGAAGGGGAACAGCAGTAGATCGGGGGTAGCGACGAGGGGGTGGCAAGTGTTTCTGTCAGTTTAATAGCTTCGCGCCTACCTACCTACCTACCTCCTCTCATCCCTCCTAATCCCTCTCCCTCCCTCTCCTCGCTCCCACAAACTCACCCTACCACGCGCGCACTTTGCCGCCGACATTACAGCATCGTCACTCCACGTGTCAGAAGTTTCGCCAGACGTAGGAGGTCTGCTTAGATCTGATAACCCTTTGATATTCCCGTTATTTATTGCCCCCCCTCGTAGATTCGTTGGTCTTCGTCGTCGACGCGTGAGAATCGATTGAATCCTCGAGTCTCGGGTAATTCCTGCGTTCTGTTTCACGAAGCCACGATTCTGATGCTCGAATATAATTGGAAATACATTTAATTAGTACAGAATAATAGACAATGAAAATTCGAAAAATGAATAAAAGTGATATCTCGCGAGAGAATAAAAAAATCGCGGTGGTTCTACGCTTTTCGTAAAATAATCGCGAAATTAAACAGTATTATGCTTCGCATACGTTACATATATGAGCAACGATAAATATCTAATTATCACTAAAGCTAGTATGTAATAACATTTAATTTTGCGTAATAACATATAAATATTTTAATTATAAATATTTGCAAAATTTCTAAATAGTACAACATGGAAATAATGCATTATAAACAAGCGTTGCATAAACATATTTAATTGTCAAATTTTAGTATTTAATTACATTTATTCTCCATTATCTAATTATATATCGTGTGCTTGCACACATAATTAAATTGTTCAACTTTAATTCTCGCAAACTTTATTACCTCTCTACATCCGAGCACGAGTTTTTAAGGACATAAATTTAATATATATTTTTTATATAGTTTGAAGACTTTTGTGACATTTATATATCTTCATCTGTCAAATTAAAAAACGTCCGAAAATTCGCAGAACGACACTTTCTTTCGCTTTCATCAAGAAATACACGGTTTCTTACCGTCGTTGGTGCCAAGGTTCGCAACAGGCGCAATAGGCGATATCAACATCCGCGATGTGGAGACATTTTTATGCCTGTGTAAATCAAGCCCCTCCAAATATTGCGCGAAGGACGAGAAGGTGGTAGACGAGTGAACAGAAGGGTACCGGTGTCGCCGGCCATAAAGAATGATATAACTGCACGCGACACATGTCTTCCCGGCTGCGAAACACAGTCATATTGTCGTTACTGCAGCCTTTTTCCGTGCTCGAAATGAAGATTTGTTTCGGCGTCTTTTTCCTGGCTCCGTCATATATTCCTGCGTGGCTTTATCCGCGGTCGTCCTGATTTTATGGCCGCTAGATTTAAATCATCGCGCCCCCGCCTTTCCCTCGCCATTAGCCTGGGGAATAAAGCGACAGAGGAAATAGTAGCAGAATAATTTTCGATTATTTTCTTCTTTTTTTTTTAAGAGACAAAATTGTGGAAAAAAGAAGGGAAATTGCGCGCGGGAAATATTATTCCAATAATTTAGCTTGATTTTCCAATAAATACTCGCACGCGTTTAATAAAATTTTTTTTACAAAAATAAGTCTATATCTTCGCGAAAATAAGTCTATATCTTTTACGATTTCTGAATAGTACGTTAACCTTCGGCCTTTGACAATATTTTGAAGAATAAGAATTTCGGATATTCCGGGGAAAAAATTTTAACAATGAGACATTTTTGCAGGAAAGAAAAAATATATGCATGCGAGAGAGCCATTGATCGAGCTTGTTTGAGATTTTACAAGAAAAATCTCGTTATCGGTTAAGACGAACGTTATACATATGTTCAAGGAAAAACATCATTTTTTTCTGTTATACAAAGAGTAACAATACGTGACATTGATGTTTCCGACATTCTACTCCTCCGATTGATTTTGAAGTCACGTTGATGGTCGAATCACGTCGGATTGTCGAGTGCGATTGAAAAAGAGAAATCGAGAATTGACTTGGAGGTTTGTGACGGTCACTTTTGTGTGGCACTTTGAGTGTGCTATCCATTGTCATCTGCGCTTTCCATGTTCTCTCGTCGAAGCACCTTTAGACTTTTTGCGATAAAAAATGTTTCAGTTCGTTGACATCCTATCGCTGACTGTTAATGTAGTCGGAGGTTTTGCTCTACTTCGTAACCGTTCTTGAATTCATTTGCGAGAAAAAATATAAAACGTGAATGTGGGAAATACAGGCGTTAACGGTACGTTTTGTGTCGTTAGATTTGGGACAGTTTCTCAGCTGATTGGTGTCATGCTGGTACTAGTTCAGTAAAAAGCATTTGCAAACATGAGAGCAATAATATAAAAAAGTTATCTCTTGTATACAAAGATACAAGTTTACTTAATTCTTATATTCTTAATTCTTATATTACTTAATTCTTATATTCTTTAAAAACTCAATATAATAATTTTATTTCTTTTTTTATCATACTTTTTAATTTTATCTAGACATTTACCTTTATGTGATATTATTTGCAATGTTTAAGATTGCACGTAACGAGAAGTAAAAAATGCAATACATAAATATTATTCGTTGTAATTGTGAATAAATAATTATTTATTGTGTTATATTACATTATTATATTGTTTTATTTATTATATTATTATGACATTATTCATTTATATTGTTACTCTGATAAAATTGTTACGTCCCACCCTTCTCATATGAAAATCGATTTTTGCTCAATGCTCTCGCGTCTTCGAGAAAAGAATCCCGACTTTGACATTCAGCTACCGCGAAATCTCCTCCTCGTTATCAGCATCACGTTACGATATCCCCTCCCCTGTTATCCCCTCCTCAGGTTCTCTCAGACAGTCGCATTACGCTCCATCGCCGAAGCGCCAGGTTCCTCTCGCTCGCTCTCCCGAGGGATGCTGTAGTCGCCTTGGTGGGGACCTCGATGCGATAGGGGTTGCTCCGCCCGTGAACCAACCAGAGGTCCCGTTGGAGGTGACCCGCCACACCCCGTGTATCGTCCCTGGGATCCCGAGAGAACCCTCGTCGTGCCATCCTCTTCTCAACAGATTTTGGATCCTCTAGTTCGCCAAGGGCCAGCTGACACGGAGCAGCGCTCTTTCCGTTGTGTCCGTCTCTTCCCTACCTACCTATTACAGAGCCCGCTCTGGAAAGGCTCAGGCGCTACCCCCCCGGCGCGCGATCATATCTACCCCCTTGGAGGTAGACCCGGGGTACTCGAATCCCAGTCGCGACCGCGTTCTTAGTCGACCCGACCGATCGATCGCTCGATCATGAAAACATTCGGCCCGAATTCCCGCCGACCTCGTCGTTGGTCATTTTTCGTGATGTTGACGTGATCTCGTGAGAGGAAAACTTCTTGTGATGCTGATGTGCCGGGAGTGATCCGTATCCTCCAAAGTCTCTCCGAACCCAGAGTCATTTGGAGGATCCAGGATTTCGGATTCGAGGCGAGTCACGCCGATGAACGATCTGGATCTGTTCCGTTCTATCGTGGATTGCAAGATGAATAACGGTAAGTCGAGAAGCGATCAGGGCGGCTGATGGATATAATCGTCGACGGATCCATGATTGTGATAATCGCGTCGATTTATATCGTAGTGAAACGAGCTAATTGATAAGACGAAATCTTTGATATCCGGTGAGACAATCGAACGATCTTAATTCGACAGACGAATTAATCAACAAATAAATAATTCTTATCAAATTAAGATACACTCATGAAATCGAATGTGCTCTGCACCTACTTTTACATAGATAAATTACACGTATTAGCCTAATTTCATGAATACAGTTAAACTAAGTGAGATAGTTTAACGATTGGCCATTTGTCATCATCTACTTCTGCAAACAAGACGTTTACTTTATTAACATCAGCTTTCAAAGCACTGTTCGAGGCTGTTATCATGAACTCAGCTCCTATAAGTGTCGCCTTTGAGGCCAAGCATTCTCCCGTGCTCGATGCTCGTACAAACATCGAGCAAGGAAGCTTAACCGCAGACTGTCCGGAAGCCAGACTCCGGAGATTCGATCGTCTCGTCCAATTTGGCCTGGTTACCCCTTAGTAATTCCGTGACATGCTGATAGTGTTATCGACGTTCCACGATACTACTCCTGGCCGCAGAATCCCGTCGCTTTTCTAATTAACCTCTATCTGCGCCCCCTCTCTGGTCTTGATAGGGAGATCCGATATTGTCAGCGAGATTGCGTCTTTAATCGCGTTATCCGCAATCGGAGCTCTCGGATACGTCTCGCGACGCGACAAATTAAACGCGCGTCGCCCGTTTCTCCAAAGGATCCTCGTATCGCCAGGATGTCCTGTGCGGTCAGAACAACGTGGTCTGTACGCGCGGTGCAATCACTCCTTCCGACATCTCCATAGTCGCCAATTTGCTTAATTATCTTTTCCGGAAGTCCACGCGCGTTTGCGTCTCCTGGACAAGTTCTACTTTGCTGGATATTCGAGATGCATTACTCCGGATTTTTTTTTAAGAGTATTTTTATTACCTCTAGGTCTTAACTCTCTTGTATCGGGTTTAATAGTAACGTTGAATAAAGAATTAATTATGATGATAAAAGAAGAAAAATTGCTTTAATATTGTCGAACGTCTCTACTCGAGTTGAAAATTTTCAACCTTCATTTTTTCCCATATTTATAAATTCTAGATTCTAAACTTTGATAGTAAATAGTATTTGAAATGCAATTTTTAAACAATTTTTCTTAGAGTAGTTTAGCAAAACTATGGATTAAATACACAGAGAAAAATGTATACTGTATTCAAGTAAATATTATTTATTTTAAGTATATCATAAATTTGTATATCCGCAGATAAGTCATAAGTCATAAGCATCATAAGTTTACCACAAGCATTAAATTTAATTGAATATATTCTGAATTTTAGTAAGTGCAGTATTTTAGTCAAGAATATTAAATTAAAACAAAAATTTGGTTTGCTTACTACAAGAATTGACGTAAAGTAAGTTTGATTTTTCTTTGATACAACTTTACAATATTCTTGAAGAGAAAATAAATTCTTCTTTTGAGTACATGATAATGAGATTTTCTAACACTTGTGATGAGTATATATATTTTAAGATTATTATCAAGAATATATTTTTTGTTGAAGAAAACTATTACTTAAAAAAAAATAAACTGAATAATCGCTTTTCTTGGCAGTAGAATGATATTTTTCTCTGTGTAGTTTCGAAAGGAAATGATCTGCTAAAATCAAGGATTAAAAATTGCGATCGAAATTTTGCTCAAATTGCAAAATTTTTGCTCAATTTGCAAAAATTATTTTCTTTTTTGAAATATACGCAAATCGAAATTTTTCTGCTACTTCGCTGTATCTCTAGGCTTTCCATTTAGTCAAGATTCACTTGACAATATTTTAACGCGCGCTTAATTTGTCTACTTGACGATTGATTAATCCATCATTCGCCCAATCGTTATTTATTAAACCTTTCGATCGCGAAATGTCAATCGTCTATACATCCGGCGCGTGCAATTCTAGCAGGAGGCAATCGATGGACGAGTGAATCACACGCGCATCAATCATTGATCGTACAATAGACCCGTGCGATACAAACGAGTCATTTGCTTTGTAACTCGCTAAATATGTATTATTATTTTAAATAGCATGATGCAATTGATAGACTATCTTTCATCAGCCAATAATATTGTAATAATTATTTATTGTAATCTTTATGTAAAATGATGCATATGGCATTCTTACTCGGTAATAAAATTCTCTCTCTCTCTCTTTCTTGATAAATCAAGAAAAATTATTTCTTGATTTATTATGACGAATATACATTTAAAACAGAGATTGACGTTTTATTGTGCCTCTCACGATTAAATCTATTATGGATAATTGAGCAGAGAAATTTCTCGCGCGATCGATACTAAAAAGAGAGAGACAGAGAGAGAAATTCTTCCCACGATTAATTTGCGTCGGATACACTAAGCGCGTTTTACTAGAGCGGCACTTTGCTCTAATCATCCCTAGAGCCTCTTGAGCCGCTATCATCGCGGATAATGTCACGCATGGCTCAACAAGTATACTCATACTTCTCTGTCAAGGGAGAGAAAATACACTCCCGGCACTTGTATCCCACAGAAGTCAAAGACCCCTGGGCTTTCGAGGGTTTCCCAAATATTGTTGTTGTATCATATCGACTCTAGCGGCGCGAGAGGATCTGGAGTGCGTATCCGACGTACCCTCGCGCGATCAAGTCTCTTCTTTACGATCATCTCCGTCCGCGAGCGAATGTCTCCGTCGAATCGTGTTTACTCTGGTCGGATTTAGATAGAAATTTGGGATAACAGTACCATGCTACGTCTCTGTAATTGTTTCGAGATTTATTGTTACTCGATCTTTCCTTTTATTTAAATTATATGTAACGTATAATGTATAAATCCTGTTATAAAGACAATTTAACACAAGTATAATGTTAGAAGAAATCGTTAATTCCCAGAGATTTTTATTACAGAAAAATTCTCTAAAATAATTATGACAATTAAATATTGACAATATTGACATTTTATGGTAATAAAATGTTGACAATTCTATTGGTATCACTTAACTTTTTATTTTTATATCATTCTCGTTACATAACTGTGATGTAATTATTCGCATAATAGTTTGAATAGAATAATTTTCTATTTTGGGAATCAGAGTATATCAGATAACTATCTCTTAACAATTCATTATATTTCTTTCCATTAGTTATGGCGCATCGCTATCGCCACTCGTAGACATCCTGTCTCTTTGAGCTTCGTGTCGCCGAGCATGCCTTGCAGGATCATCATTTTCTTTTACGACTCACCCGAGTCGACGTAAATCGACGGGGATCCTTAAGTCTTTGTTTACTCTCTCGATTAGAATGGAATTGAAGCCGGCATCGTAAAATTGATATTTTTAACGTTTTATCGCTTTATATATGAACTCCCTACAAAGTTCACCCTTGTTGAAGAAATGTCTTTGGTCTCTTCTTTTTATCACTTCGATTAAATATGTAAGAGAAAGAACGAATTAATTTGAATTAGTGCGAAATTAATCGTGAGAAAATTTTGATAGTAAAATTATAACCTTCTCTTTGTTCTTCTTTCCCTTTGTCTCTCCTCGACAATTTATCTACCTATTCAATACACCTACCAGCTCGTCGCTGAGACGATCATTTGCTTAGTCGCCGATTCACACGAGACTTTTGCTATTTGCAGAGGACTCTCAATCTTCGCAGGCGTAAAGCACACAGTTTGTTTTTAGATAGCTGATACACCGCGCGGATATCTTTCGATTCGAAGATAAGACGGGCCATTAAAAAAGGGCGAATTGTACAAACAAAACCAGATTCATGCGATGCCTCTTTATCGCTTCGAAAAGCATGATATTTAAAATAATTGCCGTAATAAAAATCGACAATGGACGATTGATGCGAGGAATATAGAGAGAATTTAATTGAATTTAAAATATGACAGATTTTTATCAACAACTTGTCTCTTTAATTACATTCGTACATCTCTGAATTGGACGATAATCGCAATTTAAATTATTTGACGATGCAAATGTTTCGCGTTAGCTGACGTCGATGCATCAAGAACAGCCGACAAGAGGACAATAAAATTCTTATCGCAGCAAACATCCTCGGCTTGGGTGTCACTACATGCGGCAGCTGCGTCGAAGAAACGTGCCGCAGATAGCTATGCCAATTGGCACTTGTCCTTGTGTGTCTAGGATTTCGTCAAGTTATAAGAGAGCGAGAAAGAGAGAGAGAGAGAGAACGAATTTATTGCACCTCTCCTGTGAAACCATTCATGATTTTCCGACCTTCATTGAGAGCAAAGTTTACACGAAGCCACGACCTTTCTCGCAACAAAACGCTCGTGTACTTGGGTTTAATATCACGAACCGCGACTTTATCGCGGTAACACAACGCGAGTTGCCGCTTTCTTAGAAATGACCAATCAATACGTCACGTTCCGGAAAATCGTCCCTCATCACCGTTCCACGTGTAGATTCTTCTAGTAAAAATAGAACTTTCGCAAATGGTGCATTATATGTTATTAAATACGCATTACTAAATAAATGTTTAAAGTGCAACTAACCTCCTCCAAATAATCGATACGTGAAAGGAGATAAATACGAGTTATAGTCATCAAACGCTAATTAATAAAACAAATTATTAATAAAACCAACTAATAAAAACGTTATTCATCTTAAATGTTGATAGAAACTATTACTTAATTTAATTTTTCTATTTTTAGTCTCAAAGATTGAATATCGAACTGAAAAATATGAAAAGAATGAAATAAATTTGCAATATTCCTTTATGAAAATTTGCAAATTAATTCTTTGTCTCGTACATTTATTCAAGACTCATCGATTACATTGAGAATCTCGATATTCTTTCCTCCTAGGAAGCAGCGACGAGGGAGAGTTGACATCGGGCGCGACAGGCGGGGGTGGCAGCAACGAGAGCGCAGAAATGGAGGAGAACGGATCGACTCGCACGAGCAGCAACAGCAACAATAACAATCCGGTTTACAGAGATCCGAGAACCCTTCAGGCGCACGAAGTGTCGCAGGATTACAATCAGCAATCGAGGACCGCTTATCAACAGCGCGGTTACTCGCCAGGGATGGACCGACAACGTAATTACGAGAAGGAACATCAATCGTTGACATCTTCCAGAGAGGAGGAGAGAAAGTTGTCCTGGGACTATAGCGAGAAGAACGCGCGGAAGGAATATTCGAGATCGCGGGACCACAGCAACGAGTACCGTGAGTCTTGCAGTTTTCCGAACATGCGAAATGTCTTTCCGGTCTCGGCTCGAGTCGTACGCGAAAAGAACTGTTCAAAATTTTCCGATCTTTTAGATATTTTTTATCCAAATTCCAAGTAAAATTACAGAATTTTTAAAGATGAAATTTTTTAAAATAAGTTATTGTTATTTGCGTTTTTTAAAATATTTTCGGGGTTACTCAAATCTTACGCGATGGAAAAAAATTTCTCAAAATTTTCTGATTTTTTCAAAGTAAATTGTTTTTATTTTGTGCGTTTTTTTAAATTTTCTACTCAAGCGATCAAAAAGGAAAGAAATAATTAAGAGTAATTTAAATTTGATAATTGTTAGATTTAAAACAGTAACAAAAAGAGCTGAATGGATTTTATAAAGAAATATTTTTGCATTTTGCATAACATTCCTATTTTTTAGTCATCAAGAATTACACTAAAAACTGTATAATATATATTCAATATTTATATTTTGAAAATATAAACTAGATGTTACATATTTATGATATATTTTAAATACATTATTCAATATTCTCATGAGCATATTTTAAATATTTAACTGCTGAATAAAATACACCTTTTCTAGCTTTAATATCAATTTATTAATCATAAACTCAATTTGAATAAGAGCAATAATATTATATAATCTAAATACTAAAGAAGAAAAATATAATACACGCGAATAAAACAAATGATTTAAAAAAATCTCAGAATAAAAACAATAAAATAAAATCAATAAAATTTCTCAATAAAATTCCATAAGATTCGCTGACTTTTCAGAATAAAAAAAATCCCTGAGAATTTTAGACTTTTCCCGAAATAAAAATTTTGTCTGTTCTACTCTTTATTTTTTTTAATGCGTTATATATTAAAAAAATATTTAAAATTTGTCAAAATTACGCATCCCAGTATTTATATTTTTTAATATAATCAGCTTCTATTTTCTGAATTTACAATTTTTGACTATAATTTTATCGATTCTTAATATAAATATACCGATAAACACATTATAACGTTTATCTGCGTAGAGGACATGAAGCAGGAGATAAAGCAGGAGATGAAGCAGGAATCTAAAGATCACTCGAGTCGCGAATGGGTGTCACCGATTCCGGAGGTCGAGGTCGGTGGCTCGGCACCGGGTGGCCCGTATGTTCGCGCACGCAAAGACATCCCCCGCGGCGCGAGATTCGGCCCGTACCTCGGCAAATGGGCAGGCGAGCCCTTCAACCCCCGTTACGCGTGGGAGGTAAGTCGCATACTACAACTTTCGCAGTCTATACAATTGGTATATACATATATCTGTGTGTGTATGTGTGTTTATCGTTTTCGCACCCGCTTTCGAATTCTCGAGCAGAGGCAGTCGAGGCGTAAATCGTGAAGCGAATAGGTCGGTGCTCCATCAGTTCAAACTGACCTTTTGAAGCGAAAGATTTGCAGTTTGCAGCGATCCCAATGTTGCGACATAGTCAAACTTTCGCTACTTTTTATCTAAGCCAATCAACGCAGTATTTTTTTTTCAATGCCTATCTATTCCAAGAGCAAAAGCTCATGTTATTCGGAAAAAAACTAAACAGTTTTGCAAAAAGAAATCTATTTTGGAAATGTAGCATTTTATATTTCCTGCTATATATGATTAATGTAACATATTTTTTTTTATTTTGATAAGATGTGTAAATAAATATATAGGAGAATATTAAATTCCAGGAGAATATTAAATTCCATAGAGCTAGTTTCCTCATATTTGATTTTTCTCATCAATATTACGTTTATTACGTATTATTATAATATTACGTATTATTATACGTTTGTACAGATTTTTTTCTTTCGCGAAGATTCACGAATCTCATCCGACATTATCTCGATTCTAGATTGTCGTCGAACCGTTTGAAAGATGATCGATCTGTTTATGGTTGGAGTTCGACGCAGGAATGTTTCATCCCGCATCCGAGCCCGATGTCAGTGGGTCTCTTCTATCCTCTACTGCTATAATCCCGGGTATTATCCGGCAGATGCCGGCAACGGTAAAGGGAAGGGAAGGGAGGGGAAACAGAGAGCAGATAGACAGAGTCGTCTTCGACAGCAGCCACCTGGCCGATTCGTTCGCCAAAGGTGTCATCCACGTTGACAGATCTGTCAACTGGATCATCTCGGACAGTCTTTTTCGCTTTCACTTCTGCCGACAATTTTTCGATTCCGAAATTCGAATGGAATTCGTTGAAGTGTGTGCATGTGTGTGCGTACCTTCACTGGGTCGCACATTCCCAATCAACCGTAAAATCGGAGTTCGAAGTCAGAAGATTGGAAAAGTCAGCTTGTTCAAGTCTTGGATGGATAATAATTCGTGCGTGATAAGCGCTTATCTTCAATTTTTTGCAATTCTCGATATAATGTAGGTTTTAGAGACCTGCCACGACGTGTTACGCGCGTCAGAAGAGATTTCCAAGTTTGGACAGTAGGAAACTGATCGCGTACTGGTCCAGGGAGAGGAAGGGGGGGAGGGGATGTGATAGATATGATAGCGCGGCTACGTTAGCGCATGTCGCACTGACAAAATGTAAATGGCGCCATCCATCTAACTGCCGACAAAAAGGCAGCCGGGGCCAACTGTCGGAGTGGCGATTACAGGATCGATTAAAGCCAAACTACCCCTTCGTTTCGTCGGGCCGATCTATCAACCCCACGCGCATAAGCGTGCGAGAGGGAAAACATCGCGAGAGAAAGAGAGAGAGGGTCGACCGCGATTTCTCACGTCGATCCATGCTTATTGCTCTAAAGCCGCGCAGGCTGAAGGAAAGTTTTCGAAATCATCGAGATCATTTTATTTTTTTTAGGGTTTTTAAAGGAGGTTTTTAAAGGAGGTTTTTAATATATATTCTACGTTAAATCGGATCTGACGTAACGACTATTATAAATATCGGAGTAAAATGAATTTTATCGCGATATGTAAAATTTAATTGTGAGTTTTATATGATATGTGAAATATGAAAGGCTCTCTTTAGAATTTTCAAATACAAAAATATTGAAATCATAACGACGAAGGATACCCTGCGATATCAAATTTCCATGACAATATACGAATTCTCGAAACCTCGCGAACCTTTTCCGGAATCCGATGAAGCAAAAAAGCTCCCTTTCGTTCGATTCACACGTTAGGATTCCCCGATCCTAATCCTTTTCTCATATCCTTCGGGAAACGCACTAAAGTTTTCGCGATGCGTGATCGACAGGGGGGAAAATAAGAACCACGAAACCGAAATTCGCCCCAAATTTTGGCGTTTATCCACTCCATACCGAAATTTCCACGCGAGAGATCGGAAAGTTTTCATGGGATTATCAAACTTGGGGTAAGATTGCTCCAAATCAATTTTCCGGTCAATCTATTAATGTTGTTTTTCTTCAATAATAAATAAATTAAATCAATTTAATTTTACTAATGGTTTAATTTTACTAATAAAATATATTATCAAGACTATCGCAATTATGGTATATTTCAAGAAATTTATCATTATTTTTTATCAATTTTGAAAATGTATGAGATAATTTTATACATATTTTATAATTTTATATTATATTTATATATATGTGTGTAATATATATATATATATATATATATATATATATAAAATATATATTTTAAATATAAAAGTTTTTACATAATTTTATACTCGCAATACTATAATAAAATAAAATAAAAATAAATAAATGTTTAATCTACGGAAAGAATATTTTGTTACTTGTCAGGTAAAAAATTGTGAAAAATTTGCGGTACATACACAGAGAGAGAGAGAGAGAGAGAGAGAGAGAGAGAGAGAAAAAGAGAGAGAGAGAGAGAGAAGTGAGAGAGAAAGAGAGTTGTCTTTGCAAAGGACTTGGATTATTGCCGGGACTCGAATTCGCGGAAAGTTTAGATGTATCACTATTACATCACCTGCCGTGAGATTCCTGCCTCGTTTTCCGAATCTCTCGAAAAAAAAGGGTGAGACAAAATACAAGAGAAAGGAAAAAAGAAAATAGGAAAGAGAGAAGGACAAGAGGGGGGGAGGAGAAAAGGACCCTCTCTTCTCTCTCTCTCTCTCTCTCTCTCTCTCTCTCTCTCTCCTCGATGTATATCCTGTTCGGTGACGCGTGATCCGCAGGACGACCGACCTGCGGCGTGCCTGCGTGGCGACTAAACCAATCTACGGCTTAAGCTCACTCGGCCGAGAGACCCCTCGCGTGAGGGTTCGCGCGCTCCAATTTGCCGAATGATTTCGAGAACCCGAAAGTTAAATGATCAACCGAGAGTTGCGTTTATTGCGCGACGACCGGAGTGTTTCGGCGGACACATTGAAAAATGATTCCTCATATTGCTCGAATAATGTGTAAGGATCCGTGTTTTCTCCCAATAACGCGATACGTTATATAAGTTGCAGCACAAAAAATCAATACATTTAAATATGTATTAAATATATAAATGTCTTGTACGCACTTGTTTGTGAATTTTACTATTTTTAGAATTTATTTTTATTTACATGTATTTTTTATATATTATACATAATATTTTATATATTAAATGCGAGTTATATTATTATGTGGTTTTAAGCCATGATTAATAATAATAAGATTATAGAATTATAAAATAATGAGAAAATATTATTAAAGTTAAAATTTTAAAGATTAAATATTTTTCTGTTATTTTTTCAAAAAATATATATTACTCGAAGAATAAATTTTTCGTATTAACTTGAAATGTATAAATTTGTGAACGTTTGAATCTTTTTTCCTCTCTTGCTCGAGAAAATCATTTATAGGAAACGTCGCACTTACGTCTACGAGGTTTCCTCTATTCTTTTGGATATTTGCGTATGTTCTTCGGTATTTTCCCTCTCACTTTTCCTCGTCTTTCATATCGAGATCAGGCGTTTTTTTTCCACGTGATTGCCAGTAACCCCTCTCGAGGCCTCTTAACTTGGATTGAAGACCGTTCGCCTTTCGGAGCGACCACGTGGGAGAAAAGGAGGACCAAAGTGCTGCTTGTTTTTCATATTGAAACGACCGCACGCGCCTCGTCGGAGCACTTTTTCGTCAAATCGGTCGGAAAACCTCGCTATTACCGACATATGCAGCTGACAAATTATATTGATGATGATTCTCGACGAGAAACACGTGCCATCGTCAATCGCAAGGCTTCCGTTTCTTATCATTGCAATATGTGACGTTGTCATATCGATATGTCAAACTTATTGGGAGATCCAAACATTATATTCAGGCTTCTACTTACTCAGAATTAGAAAGAATTATCAAGAATGTTATCAATACTTTTTTACACTCGGTATAATTATTTCACTAACATTCCACGTTTCCTATCGAAATGCATCAGTTTGTTCAGTATTGAAAATGTGGATTTCATTGACGGGATTTCTCAAGAACTGCGAGCTGGGCAGGGATGCAAGGATATCGTATGGTCGATGTTATTAAATCGCGGTCCATCCTGAAGTAGGATTTTAGACAATTCGCGCGTCTACCGTTTTGGACTTACAATAGGGCACATCGGTGCCTATTATCCACAAGACATTGTCCATGCGAACTGGTCTTTAGGGCGTTACTGGAGGTCGAGCCCCGGAAGTGATTCGACAATGAGGTATGCTAGAATCTTTCTTTCTCTCTCTCTTTCTCCTTCCATCTCCTTTCCCTTCCTTCACTTTCTCCTCGATGGCCGAGCCTCGTTCTTATTAACTCCCTTAGCGCAACCTAAATGCAACGTGATCATTTCTCCTGCTGCATCCATAGAGTTTGGCATTTCAAATCGATACCCGAATGGCCAGTTCTCAAGGCGTAGGGTTACGATCCGCCTTGCGATTTCCCGTATTTGAATTTGAAATAGGAGAAGGAAGCATCGCGCGAATATATATATAGAGAGAAATAGAAGGAGAAAACGCACAGGATTCGTAGCTGAAATCGAAGAGAGAAGGAAGAAAATGGCAAGAAACAAGTGACAATCAGTGATGTAGGGATCGCCGGTATTGTCCGAGCTGTCACGCGTCTGACGCGCCAGGATATCAAAAGATCCCCGTCGCGGTCATCTATGTGAATATATATGTATATACCTACTGTTTATATCAAGGAACGTAAAACAGCCATGTAAGCCATAGTCGCGGCACCCCGTGAGTCTCGCATGTACTAGTTTAGGCATTAATTTAATTTCACGAGGTAATATTGCAACGTTTTTTCTGCGGTTGATTACCTGGACTCGGGACTTTTAGAGTT